AGATTAAGGCAGAGAGGACATTAGCGCCTCGTAGGTTCTCATTGTGTGCTCAAAAGTTGAAGGGCTATTGGAGAGCAACGACGAATTTATCCCAGCCGAGTTTGAGAAGCTGATTAAATTATTCGACATACTTACACAGACGCAGAATAAAATTGTTAGTGTATGGCTCGATGATGATAATCGTGATGAAGAACAATTCAATAAAGACATCGATGAAGCGGATATCTATGACTCACGTTACTATATGTTGAAGCAAAAGGCAAGTAAATTTTCTATTTCTCCACCGAAGTCAGCTGAAAATGAAATCAGCTGATTGAGGGTGGGCGCGGAGTGGTCTCCGTGCCCCACACTCGGAGGCGGCTCCTTCATTGGAGAAAGCGGCAGCTACTACTAATCGTGTATGATCGGAACACCGGGGGGTTTTGGTGGGTCGGGTACCACACCGCCGCACCGCTTCGTAAAGGTGGACGTTTCGGTACTGGAACCTTTCACTTCGAAAAAACTTAAATTGTAAATTAAGAATAAAATTATTTAAAAGAGCAACACATAAGTTTCTCGCTCGTTCTTCTTGTGATGAGATTGCTTTTTTTTAAATCTAGCGGTAGATTGAAAAAAATGTGATGACTATTCAAAAGTGCTTCAATGTAAGTTTATTTGAATAAATGATTTTCTATTCTATTCTATTCTATTCTATCTAGTAAATTTACATGACAAAATAACATTGGCCAGGTCAGTTAGTATTTCAAAAAGGTACAGAACCTTCCAGTTTATTATTCATTCAATATATTACTCGGTTGAAGATGACACATATCAATGGATGATTATGACGTGCGGCTTCGCGATAACACAATGGCCAACACACGGGGTTTCTACTCAAAAAAACACATAATGGTCATAAATAAACGAACGAAGCTGAACATTTGTAGTATCACCCGACCTATTGACTATACTGTTGGCTGGTTGGCTGTTGTACCTCACCATAAGAATAACATACAGAGCTTTGTCATATATATATAGTGTAATCATCATATATATAGTGAATTAACTGCCAGTGAATATATTGTGGACGTATTTAAAATATATTACGAATTTATAATTTGTTTTGATATTTAAAAATAATCCTACAGCTGAAAATACGCATCAAAATCGGTCAGGATTTGAAAGAAGTGACAGTTAACTGTTGGTGAGTTTATTATTTAAATAAGTAACCGCGTCACACAGCGCCATCTAATTGGGAATTAAACACAGCTTGTACTATAACTACTACACCATTTCCAGGATATCAGAAATATCTGTTGTTTCTTTATGCATAACTTATACTCGCGACTTCGCCCGCATGGAATTTAACTTCATTTTTCTAAAATAAAAGTAACCTAAGTTACTCCTTTTGAGTCCCGTCAAAATCGGTCTAGCCACTTCAGAGATTAGCCGGAACCAACAGACAGACAAACATAGATCCAATTGAGAAGAACTGGCAAGAAACTCAATTGTATACATATATTTTTTAAAAAGCCTAACAAAAAAAACACAAACATGTCTAACATTAAATGAAAATCCCGTGCATGAACAACTATTGGCATGCACGCTCGTCATTCAAGTAATCATTTAGTGAGTAATAGGCTTTGGTTAGTAAATATGTACTTTCTTCACCCTACACTTTTAATAATATTTCGAGAGAATCGACTCGTTTAATAATTTCTCACTGCTATTTTCCTTGATTAAATCACTCAAATTTTAATTCATCATCATCATCATCATCGCAGCCCGGAAGACGTCCATTGCTAGACATAGGCCTCCCCCAAAGATCTCCACGACGATCGGTCCTGCGCTGCTCGCATCCAATGCCTTCCAGCGATCTTGACCAGATCGTCGGTCCACCTTGCTGGAGGCCTTCCCACGCTGCGTCTTCCGGTCCGTTTATTAATTCAAAAACCATTTATTCATGTAGGACATTTTAGCCGCTTATGAACGTCACATTTTTGATATTATATTTTCTTCCCTTCTCTCCAGTTCAGTATACAGATTTAATTAAGAAGAACTGGTAAGAAACTGGAAGTTTATTTACAATGTGTGGTTTGTTACAATTTATATAGGAGTCTATGTCTAACATTAAATGTATATACCTCACCTTCTGCGGCAATTTTATAGTTATACGTTTTCTATGATAATAAAATTTTAAATTTAATAATAGTTATGATTGTTTGTATCGGTCTGGGTGTTTTCTATGTACAATATGTATGTATTTACGAAAAAAAATCTATGTATTTGTATCAGTTGTCGTAACACAATCTTTAGCTAGCTTAACTTGGGACTAGATGGCGCTGTGAATTGTCCTGAGATTATTATATTATATTATATTATATTATATTATATTATATTATATTATATTATATTATATTATATTACATTATATTATATACAATCTCAAAAAACAATCATTGCAATCCGCCGCGGAACATCGAGGTAGCGTACCTAAAATACTGGCAGCGTTGCCTCTTTGAATACTCGGCATTTGGGGAAAGTAGTTACCAGCTCTCGGGTCACAAGTAACCTCGATGAGCCGCGCTGAAATATATGTGAAAAATAATTTGGTTCTTGGCTCCATGGACCCAACGTTTCTCAAGTATTATTAAAACCACAATACCGCCAACACAATCTCATGCAATATTTTAAAATCGTCTAAGATCTCATTATCTGACCCTACAGCTAATTTTATTCCTATTTAACTCTGAAATCTTCCAACATGTTGTCTATATATATCTATTAATTCGTTTGATAATTATAGTGTCTTGTGTGTGCCATCTACCTCTTCTGTGTATGTCCTATTTTGCAGGTTGTCTGTAAGAAATTGCTTTTAGCGATAAGACCGCCTTTTGTTCACGATTATCTATTTATTGTTTTTTTTTCTTATTGTATTTCTTCTATGTTCACAATAAAGAGTTTATTATTATTATTACCGCCAATTAAGCCCCATGTAACAGTAACCTTAGTCTAAGGCTAGAAACACCAGGAGTATAAGGCACTATAAGGTGAGCATTGCAAACTGCCTACGGATTGTTTATATCAATTCTTCATTTGGACGTTAGTTGCTTTCTTTATTTTAGTAGGCGCTAGTGCACTACTACTACTACTACTACTATGCTCGTAGAATATATGTATTTATCATAGACTTGCTTTTTCCTGCGGTTCGCGTTAATTTATCTCCATCGGGGTGGAATTTATCAAAACCTTACTTAGGGGATGCCTACGTCATAGTAGCTTTATGCATGCAAAGTCTCAGCCCGATTAGTTAAAAATGGATAAAGTTTCATACAAACTTTAATCCCCAATAGTATCCCCTTGGGGGTGGAATTAATCAAAATCCTAATTATTAATCGTTAATTCTTAGCGGATTTTGGCATGCAGGTAGATGTTATAACATCTACCTGCATGCCAAATTTCAGACCCATCCTTCCAGTCGTTTGGGCTGTGCGTTGATAATGGTTGACAATAAATGTTTTTCTTTCTTTCTTTCTTCTTTCTTTGATAGATCACTATGTCAGTCACCTTTTATTTATATATATTTAGATTTAGCAACTGCTTTTACATGTATCTCATCATCTCAGGACAATTCACACAGCGCCATCTAGACCCAAGTTAAGCTAGCTAGAGCTCGTGTTATGGGTACTAGATAACTGATATATATGAATAGATTTTTTTTGTAAAAACATACATATTATACATAGAAAACACCCAGACCAATACAAACAATCATACTCAATAATACAAATGTTTGTGCCGTGCGAGGAATCGAACCCGCGACCATCGGTCGTAAAGCGGTGTGGTAGACCGCTAGACCACCGAGTTCGTCATAGGTTGTTTGTTTTAATTAATAGAATATTGAAGTTAACTGAATAATTAAACAAAAACAGATTAAATAGACAAACTTCAATTATTTATTTCATGATAGTAAGAATGTATGGTAAATGTACAAATAATTTTGTACTCTTTGTTCAATCTAATACGGTATAGAATTAAATAACAATATTTATACAACATTATGTTACACGTCTCAGCGAGGACAAATATGCAAGCAAGTCATCAAACGTTTATTTAAATAAATATTGCTACTTGCAACGCTGCAAGGTTCAGATTATGTGTCTAAAATAAACAGATCATGGAGACAACCTCATTTGTATGAAGGAAGTCAATGACTAGGCTGAAAGAAAAGAAAAGTTTGATCATATCTCAGCCTACCGTGAGCAGCTCCACTGGCTTCCTATCCGTGTTCGTCGGAATATTCATTTCCTTACCCTCTTATTCCAAATCCTCTTCAACCCCCATTCGCCCTTTTACCTGCAGGAGAGATTCCGATTCCGTACTTGTGAGCATATACGTTCTTGTCATGATCTTGTACTCACAATTCCTTATCATATAAGCCACCGCTACACTAAATCTTTTACTGTACAAAGAGCACGCCTATGGAATTCACTCCCCACAGAGATTAGACTATCGCCTTCGATCAGTTCTCTTAAGAGACATCTTATTAAGCTCTGGAGTCATTCTGAGTCTGCGCTTTTTTAATGCTCCACTTATTTACATTATTTTTCTTTTCCTTTCTGGTGTGTGTATGTGTATATGTATGCATATGTGTATGTGTATATGTATGTGTATGTATGTATATGAATATATATTTTTGTGTATTTTCTGTATATATTATTAGTTATATATGTCATTGTGACGCGTATTATTTATTGTACCTATTTCCACCACTGCGCAATTCCTCTCAGTAACTCAAAGGTTGACTGGAAGAAATCCCTCTTCTGGGATAAGTCCGCCATTGTACGCATGTTTTTTTTTTTTTCTAAGTCAATTGTGTCCTTTTATTTATAATATTATTGTACAATAAAGTATTACAAACAAACAAACTAGTTCAGGTTTAGTGTTGAGGTTATCAAGGGCCTATATTCAACAGTTAGTACAACTTTGACGATATGTTTGTTTTTTCTAACAGATTAGACATGTCGACCGCTGTGGCAGGCGCTACGGATGCGGAGGATGTGGTGATGACGGGGCTGTCAGGGCGGCTGCCGGAGTCAGACACCATCGAGGAGTTCGCGCAGCGACTGTTCGACGGGGTGGACCTCGTGACCGCCGACGACCGACGCTGGACACCAGGTACGGTGCTATTGTTGCGGTTTATGTGTATTTAAATGTATATGTGTATACATGTCCCTAAACTGAACTTTTAAAGTACTACTAGCCAATGTCAAAAGTGTTTGCTAAATAAATTTGTTTATTAAACAACTAAGTATCTTCTTTTTTACTAGATACAAAAAATATCTAGGTTTTATTTTATTTTTTATTTATTTATTCATAATAAATATGTAATATTAGTATAGATATGTAATATTACTTATCTATGGTAACTATATTATAATAATCTCAGGACAATTCACACAGCGCCATCTAGAACCAAGTTAAGCTAGCTAAAGCTTGTGTTCTGGGTACTAGATAACTGATACAAATACATAAATATTTTTTTCGTAAATACATACATATTATACATAAAAAACACCCAAACCGATACAAATAATCATACTCATGAATACAAATGTTTGTGCCGTGCGAGGAATCGAACCCGCGACCATCGGACGTAAAGCGGTGTGCTAGACCGCTAGACCACCGAGGTAAACGAGTAAACGAGGTAATTACTGAATAATAAGTGTCATCTACAGGTCTTCATGGACTGCCCGAACGTAATGGGAAGCTTAAAGATTTATCACATTTCGACGCCACATTCTTCGGCGTGCATGCGAAACAAGCACATCTGATGGACCCTCAGCTGCGGCTGCTGCTCGAGGTGACGCACGAAGCGATCGTGGACGCGGGCATCAACCCTGCCGAGCTTCGCGGCTCCCGCACCGGCGTCTACGTCGGCGTCTCTAATTCGGAAACCGACGAAATGTGGACCAGCGACCCCGACAAGATCAACGGCTACGCCCTCACCGGCTGCTGTCGCGCTATGTTCCCCAACCGCATATCGTACACGTTCGACCTGAAGGGTCCGTCGTACGCGATCGACACCGCCTGCTCCAGCTCTATGTTCGCCCTGGCGCAGGCCGTGGCCGCCATCAAAGCGGGACACTGCGACGCGGCCGTCGTCGCCGGCGCCAACCTCTGCCTGAAGCCCGGCAACTCGCTCAACTTCCACCGACTGAGCATGCTGTCGCCGGAGGGCCGGTGCGCCGCGTTCGACGCGGAGGGCCGCGGGTACGTGCGCTCGGAGGCCACCGTGGTGGTGCTGCTGCAGAAGCGCGGCCACGCGCGGCGCGTGTACGCCACGGTGCGCGGCGCGCGCACGAACACCGACGGCCACAAGGAGCAGGGCATCACCTACCCCGCCGGAGAGATGCAGCGGCAGCTCGCCGCCGAGACGTTCCGAGAGGCGGGACTGAGACCACAGGATGTTGTTTACGTCGAGGCACATGGGACAGGCACTAAGGTCTGTACTTACAAGTAGGACTTCCACTCCCAATATTTATAATTTTTCAAGGCTTGATACCTTGAGGCTTAATATTATATATTAAATATCATTCCTCAATTCCAGGTGGGCGATCCGCAGGAAGTGAACGCGATCGCTGAATTGTTTTGCAAAGACAGGAAGACTCCATTGTTGCTGGGGTCGGTGAAGTCTAACATGGGACACTCGGAGCCCGCGTCGGGCTTGTGCTCGATCACGAAAGTACTGATCGCAATGGAAAAGGGCGTCATTCCTGGCAATCTACACTTCAAATCTCCCAATCCCGAGATACCAGCACTTAACGATGGCCGAATAAAGGTAAAATTTCTTTTCCAGGACTTAATAAATATTTAAGACGATAGTTATGCTTAATTACTACTAGTTGTATATTTTTTTCTTAAATAAATACAGTGGGAATTGAAGTGAAAATTACCCCCATGTTGTGACAGGTGGTGGACTGCAATACTCCCTGGGAGGGCGGGCTGGTGGCGGTCAATTCGTTCGGTTTCGGCGGAGCGAACGCGCATGTGATCTTGGAGTCAGAACGTGGGAGAGACGAGAGTTGGAGTGAATGCGCGCCATACTCGTTGCCGCGCCTGGTGCTCGTGTCGGGCCGCACTGAAGATGCCGTGCGCACACTGATCGAGCACGCAGCTGAACACGCTACTGATGCTGAGTTACATGCGCTTCTCGACGCAGTGCATGAGCGGAACATACCCGGACACCCGTACCGGGGGTATGCTGTGCTCACCGAGCCCCTGATCCAAGATATTTGTGTAAGATTATTTAAGACTCTAGTCGTATTATTATATCAATACCTTGTTGTAAAAGGACAACAAAGGAGTTTAAAGAAATCCCGGGGCAATAACAACTAGCACAAACGGGCGCCTTTACGGTGGGCGTTAAACAACCAACAATAGCGTTCCCAAGGAGGGTTGGTGTCAGGCAGGCGGCCGGCCGTAAAACACTTATGCCAAAAACATTTGCAGTATGGAAAATGAGTCGTATTATTATATCAATTATTTTATTGGATAGTGAATCATTAACTTATTCTCAGTTTAATCTTTGCGGAGATATCTCTTCTTACTGTATTCTATCTATATGTCTTATAGCACTTGACCCTTTTGTACTATACTGTTTCGATCCCCAAGCACATGCTTTCAGTCACCTTTTTCATACTTTCTGATTTTATATAGTACTAGCTTTTGCCCGCGGCTTCGCTCGCGTTAATTTATCCCCTTAGAGGTGGAATTTATCAAAATCCTTTCTTAGGGGATGCCTACGTCATAGTAGCTTTTTGCATGTAAAGTCTCAGCCGGATCGGTTTAAAATTGACAAAGTTTCATTCAAACTTTCATCCCCTATTTTATCCCTTTGGGGATAGAATTAATCAAAATCCTTTCATAGCGGATGCCTACGTCATAACATCTACCTGCATGCCAAATTTCAGCTCGATCCGTCCAGTGGTTTGGGCTGTGCGTTGATAGATCACTATGGCAGTCACCTTTGAGTTATATTTAGATTCTTCTTAGTAAACGTTCTGCCTCGGTACTCGGAAGACTCCATGAACCTTGTATTACTTATATATTGTTTGTGTATGTTATGCACAGGAGTTGGACAGCACTGAGCCGTATCCAATTTGCTTCGTGTTCTCTGGCATGGGCTCGCAGTGGGCAGGTTCGGCCCGCACTCTGATACAACTACCGACATTTGCTGACTCCGTAGCTCGGATGGCGGCTGTACTGCAGGCCTACAACGTCGATTTGCTGTACATCCTGACGGAGGCACCTGAAACTGCTTTTGATAACATCATCAACTCCTTCGTGTCAATAACATCTGTACAAGTAGCACTGGTAGATGTATTGCGCACAGTCGGCATCAAACCAGATTTCATGATTGGACACTCTGTTGGTGAACTAGGTTAGTTAACCAAAATTATAATTTCCTTTTAGAAGATTCCTGATTTCGTTAAATTTAGATACATAAAGAAGTAATTGCAATTAATATTTATATTCTAGATATAGTGTATATTTGTAGGGTGTGCGTACGCGGACGAGACGCTGACGGCGGAGCAGGCGGTGCTGGCGGCGTACTGGCGCGGGCGCAGCATCGCGGACGCCGCGCTGCCGCCGGGCGCGATGGCCGCCGTCGGCCTCACGTGGCAGCAGTGCGTCGAGCGCTGTCCGCCCGACGTCGTGCCGGCCTGCCACAACGCCGCGGACAGTGTCACCGTACGTACCCGCCCCGGTCCATGTTGATGTACTGGCGTAGAAGCAGCAGACCAAATATTAAACTGCGTTTTCTTCCTGCTCATTCTATTTATCTTCCTACATTCTACCAATACAATTGCAGGAGGAATTGTAGAATGCAGCAGGAAGAAAACGAAACAAATGAGCAGGAACAAAAGGTAAAATTACCAGATATGATGCATTTATGCAAGCTGGTCACAACATAATATAAACCTGGCCTACATCTGGCAGTAAAAAAATTATGTCCAAATCATCAGCTACATTATTCATTGTTTTTATAAATGTACTACAAATTATTATAATGTATTAGGTGTCAGGTCCGGTGCCGTCAATAGACAAGTTTGTAGCTCAACTAACATCAGAGGGTATATTCGCGCGGCGTGTAAATAGCAGCGGCGTCGCATTTCATAGCAAATACATCGCAGCAGCTGCGCCGGTACTGTTCCAGCGTCTCGAAGCTACTATACCCAATCCACAGCCACGATCTGCGCGATGGATCTCAAGTTCTCTGTCTAAAGACAAGTGGAGTTCTGATATTGGTAAATAAATAATTGAATCTTTCTATCTTAGGCGACCTTATAAATTCTATACTAAATTGGTAAATAGTACTAAAAGTTCCGTAGTAAATATATTTTTTATTATAAATAGCATTCATTCATGCTGAATACATAAATTATCTACTGAATCCATCATTTTAATAAACTTACAAATTTAATTACCAAGTGCAAATTGGTAACTTTCTAAGGACGTATTCGTACAAATGATTTCAAGTTCCCTTAATTAAAATTGTTAATTTTTGATGGTAGGGAAACTGAGCGGCGCGGTATATCACACCAACAACTTGGTGTCGCCGGTGCTGTTCGCGGAGGCGCTGGCGGCGGTGCCGGCGCGCGCGCTGGTGGTGGAGGTGGCGCCGCACGCGCTGCTGCAGGCGGTGCTGAAGCGCGCGCTGCCCGCGGCCGCCGCGCACGTGCCGCTCGTGCGCCGCGACCACCCCGAGCCCTGCGCGCACCTGCTGGCCGCCCTCGGCAGGTGAGTGTAGCGCGTGACGTGCGTGCGGCACGTGGCGTGCTACGCGTGCTGCGCGTGCTACACGCGCCCGCTCGTGCCGCAGGGTGTACGCGGCGGGCGCGCAGCCGGCGGCGGGGCGGCTGTACCCCGCGGTGGCGTGGCCCGTGTCGCGCGGCACGCCGGGGCTGGCCTCGCGTGTCCGCTGGGACCACTCCGTCGAGTGGAGCGTCGCGGACTTCGGCGCCGCCGCCCGCGCCGGGGAGAACGTCGTCGAGGTGGACCTCTCGCGCGCCCGACACGCCTACGTCGCCGGACACCAAATCGACGGACGAGTCCTCTTCCCTGCCACCGGATACATTGTGAGTACTATCGATTTGTTCTATATATTGCCTACACTTTCGTTTAAAACCAGTACCAGATGAATTTCTTGTCCACTCGTCTAGTCAGAATCGGCACTCCTACTGTGGAGATAGAATTAAAAATATATTTTTCAAGATTGTTCATGTAAAGTTTGTTTGAATTAAAGTTGATTATTGGTTTGATTCTATACTATTTCCCAAAATTTTTCAGGATCTTGTATGGCGAACTATGGCCAAACTTCACAACAAGAACTTTGAAAATACAGCGATTCTCTTGGAGGATTTACAGTTTAGGCAGGCGACCATCATGTCTCGTGACACAGCCGTTCGATTTTTAGTAACAATATTAAGTGGCACTGGAGAGTTTGACATCTGCGAGGGTGCTAGTGTTGCTGTCACAGGTAAAGTGAGACTTGCTGAGGATCCGGCTGCGGAACGTCTTAAAATGCCACCACTAGTAATTTCTGATGGACCCGATCTATTACCCCTTACTAGTGAAGATATTTATAAAGAATTTAGAATCCGAGGATACAACTATAGTGGACTATTTAACGGAATACGCTGCTCGGACCCGAGGGGAACGAAAGGAGATCTTGATTGGAATGGCAATTGGGTCACTTTAATGGACACAATGTTGCAATTTGGGCTCATTGGAAAAAAAACACGCGAATTACACGTTCCAACATTGATTGAACGCGTACTTATTGATCCGGTAGCACATTTGGCAGTTGGCAACGGAGTAGATAAGTTACCAGTCCGCAGAGACGAAGATATTGATATTGTTATATGTGGTGGTTTAGAATTCCGAGGAATAAAAATGAGTCTCGCACCCCGTCGTATAAATATACAAACACCACCAAAACTAGAAAAATATGTATTTGTGCCATATGATAATACAAATATTAATGACTGCCTGTACTCGAGACGGGACGCTCTTACTACCAGCACTCAAATAGTGCTGGAAAATGTAGGTACCTTGCGTTTAAAAATTACGGAAGCGGCTCTAGATAAACCTATAGAAGCACTATTAACACCGCATATTTTGAAAATATTGGACAGTGAACCACAAGTGCGTGTAGAGTGTAGTCTGGCCGCTGCTACAAACGTAACATTCTACTCAGCGGCTCTTCAACATCATGACATAAAGGTGTGTAATAGTTTATGTAGCATTAGAGAAAGATTCTAAACCATGCCACTATGATGCCAACTTCACTTATTTTTCGAAACTATCAATATATATTTTTTACGTACCAATGCAGATAACATCAAAGGATGTGAACAAGACCGCCCCAGACAGCGAGTGCCATCTGGTGGTGGCGGGCGGCGTGGCGTCGTCGTCTGACAGTGCGGAGGTGCTGGGCCGGCTGGCGGAGGCGCTGGCCGACGGCGGCATGGTGCTGGTGGAGGAGGCGCACGGCGCGCTGGGGGCGGCGGCGGCGGAGCGGGCCGGCCTCGAGGTGGTGTCGCGGCAGGCGACCGCCGACTGCGAGTACCTGGTGCTGCGGCGGCGCGTCCCGCCGCCGGCCGAGCACGTGGTGGTGGAGGTGGAGGACGAGCGCTCGTACGGCTGGGTGGAGCCGCTGCGCGCGGCGCTGAAGCGCGCCGAGAGCGCGGCCGCGGAGCTGCGCGTGTACGCGGTGTCGCGCGCGGCCGGCGGCGGCGTGCTGGGGCTGGGCACGTGCCTGCGCGCCGAGCCGGGCGGCCGCGCGCTGCGCGTCTTCTATCTGCCCGACTGCCGCGAGCCCTTCCAGCCCGCCGCGCCCCACTTCGCGGACCAGCTGCGCAAGGACCTGGCCGTCAACGTGCTGCGCGCCGGCGTCTGGGGCTCCTACAGGCACCTTCTGCTCGACGACACTGTAAAGGCGCAGCTCCAGGTGCACCTCTTTACATTTACTAGAAGGCTCATTATTTGATAATCAACTAAAGCAAGTCCCAATAATAAACATGGTTTTAAAACCTCTTAAATCCAATAAAGTGATCAACAGGTCTTTTGGAGTATTTACCTGATTTATATCTATATAAAATTATATCATTTCTGTATATTATAGTTTACAGACAAAAATATAACAAAAATTTTATGGTCACTTTCGACTGATTATCAAAAAAAAAAAAATAATGTTCGTCTATCAATTTTGTTTCTTAACACGATGTTATCTGGCAATAGGTGGAACACGCGTACGTGAACACTCTAAGTCGCGGTGACCTGTCGTCGTTGCGGTGGATCGAGAGTCCGTTGCGTTTAGCGAGCCAGAAACAGTGGCCCGCAGGCACAGACCTGTGTCAAGTATACTACGCACCACTTAACTTCCGCGACATAATGTTGGCTACTGGAAAGCTACCACCTGACGCGTTACCAGGAAACCTCGCTGGGCAGGTACACAATAGATGCACCTTACATTTTACAAAAAATACCACATAGTACTCCTTTACTTTAATGACGTCACGTTTCGGCACAGGAGTGTATCCTGGGGCTGGAGTTCAGCGGGCGGTCGTCGCGGGGCGCGCGCGTGATGGGCATGGTGGCGGCGCGCGGGCTGGCGACCAGCGTGGTGGCCGACTCGGGGTTCCTGTGGGAGGTGCCCGCGGCGTGGTCGCTCGAGCAGGCGGCGACGGTGCCGGTGGCGTACGCGACGGCGTACTACGCGCTGGCGGTGCGCGGGCGCATGCGGCGCGGGGAGGCGGTGCTGGTGCACGCGGGCACCGGCGGCGTGGGGCAGGCCGCCATCGCGATCGCGCTGCACGCCGGCTGCACCGTGTTCGCGACGGTGGGCACGCCCGACAAGCGCGCCTTCCTGCGCGAGCGCTTCCCGCAGCTGCGGGACGACCACGTCGGCAGCTCGCGCGACACCTCCTTCGAGCAGCTGGTGCTGCGTCAGACGCGCGGCCGGGGGGTCGACCTCGTGCTCAACTCGCTCGCCGCCGACAAGCTACAGGCCTCCGTGCGCTGCCTGGCCGAGGGCGGCCGATTCTTAGAGATCGGCAAGCTAGACCTTGCCAACAATACGTCTCTCGTTAGTTACTCTCGTTATACTTTTATATTGATCTAACCAGCATCTTTGTCTGGAGGAAGGCCTCTTAATTTTATGCCTATTAAAATGCCATTTCTGGTGTATTTTTCAACTTATTGTTTCTCTTCTTTTCTCTCATTCTCTTTGTCAAATAAAAAAAAACCTGTGGATAATAACGAGTATTATTATCATTACTTTCATATCTTTATTCATTATACTGTTGATTATTGTCCACATATATATTTTATACCTTTATTAACTCTTCAGGGCCTAAAAGTATTCTTAAAGAACACAACATTCCACGGTATCCTGCTGGACGCGCTGTTCGAGGCGTCGGCCGAGGACGCGGAGAAGGCGGCGGTGGTGCGCTGCATGACGGAGGGCATCGCCAGCGGCGCCGTCCGCCCGCTGCCCGCCACCGTCTACCACGACCACCAGCTCGAGCAGGCATTCCGGTATATACAGATTTTACTAGTCTTAGACTATCCTCATAAAGCAATACTAGTAAACTCCAAGCATTTCTCAATAATATAATTCTTTATTCACAATTACAGACACATAACATACATGAGATACAGAAAAAAACACGACTTAATAAAACAAATGTAGGTGACTTTATGCGCCGCAGAAGTGTAAAGGCAGCCAACTCATAATGATATTTTTTTAACAGAGTATACTTATATTGTAGATTTCGGAGAAAATGCTTCACCTTATAATACGTACAGCTTCTTGTTGGATTATTTTAAGATACATGGCGACCGGCAAACACATCGGTAAAGTGCTGTTATGCGTGCGCGAGGATGACGGTGCGACGACGTCACCCAGCGGGAAATTAATATCTGCTATCCCGCGCACCTATTTTCATTCAACCAAAAGCTACATTTTAGTTGGTGAGTTTCATAAGTGTTTTTGTTAGTCCCAAAGTACCAGGAGTTGAGGCAATTTATATAACCGTTTTCTGTATAGGTGGCCTCGGAGGGTTTGGACTTGAGTTGGCGCAGTGGCTGATTTTCCGTGGTGCCACGCGAATCATGTTGAACTCACGCAGCGGTGTGCGCTCCGGCTACCAGTCCATGTGCATCCGCAGGTAATCAGTACACGGGTTGAGGCGAGTATGCCACATGTTTGAATGGCAATACTAAGTCGGTTTGTGGGTCGGTTTTGTGCAGGTGGCGCGAGGCCGGTGTGGTGGTGGCGGTGTCGCAGACAGACGCAACTAGCAGCGGCGGTGCGCGCGCGCTTCTGCGTGAGGCGGCGTCACTGGGGCCAGTCGGGGGCGTCTTTAACCTGGCCGCAGTGCTGCGCGATGCCTTCCTCGAAAATCTCACACCAGAAGACTTCAAAACCGTCGCGAAAGCTAAAGTCGAAGGTGAGTTTGTTGTTACTGAGTCACGCAGACGGCAGCTACGCTTGTACTAACCGAATGTTGTCGACTTGTGCAGGCACTCGAGCCCTGGATACTGCGACGCGCGAACTGACGCCGGGGTTGGATTACTTCGTGGTGTTCTCGTCGGTGTCATCTGGACGCGGCAATGCTGGTCAGAGCAACTACGGCTTCGCCAATTCCGTTATGGAGCGAATCTGCGAGCAGCGGCAGGCCGACGGACTGCCTGGTCTCGCTGTGCAGTGGGGCGCCATTGGTATTCTTTTTTAATTAATCCTTACAGGGTTCATGTTGAAAATATCTACTGAACTTCTGTATAATATCACACGATATAATAAATGAATTTAAATTTAGAAAAACTGTAATGATGCAAGTTTTGTTGATTGGCAGGTGACGTTGGCTTAATTATGGAGACTATGAGTGGCAACGAGACGGTAGTGGGTGGCACGGTACCTCAGCGGATCGCGTCCTGCATGGACGCCCTGAACAGTCTGCTAGCTCTACCGTATCCGGTTGTAGCCTCTATGGTGCTAGCCGATAAAACACGAGGGCAAATAGCGCCAAAACAAGACGTAGTCGACAGCATTGCCAATGTATTGGGTACGTGCTTTTGCATGTCAATTGTACAGAGTCATAAACTTATCAGACCTAGTGACAGCGCTGTTGATGAATGTAGTGTTGCTGCAAAAACAGGATTTTCATGATTTTACATTAATTCCAGTTTTCTAGGTCAGATAAATTAGTGGCATTGTAAATTAATTGATAAATTTATTCAGAAAGCAAATCTCTCTTCTGAATCAAAAAATCTGATTGTTAATTTCTTTTATAGGACTAAGAAATTTAAGTAACGTATCGAAAACGGCTAGTCTTGCGGAACTTGGTATGGATTCGCTAATGGGTGCAGAGATCAAGCAGATTCTGGAGCGTAGTTACGATCTCGTGCTGGGTGTGCAGGAAATTCGTACGCTCACTTTTACCAAATTGCGTGAACTCACCAACAGTAAGAGTGATGAATGCAGCACCGTCGCAACTCCCAGTGGTAATAAGGAATCTGGTATAGAGCACAAGGCTGGAGATTTGGTGGACCTAGCGACAATGAGCGAGCTCATGCCCCGAGAGGTCCTAGTCAAGTTGCCGAGCGCTCTGCCGACAAAGCAGCATTCTAAACCAGTGTTTATGGTGAGTATGTGATTTTTTGAGGTTTTGAAAAATACGAATCGTTGACTCAAAATTTTTTTAAATTGATTTGAATTAAATACATTTTACTTAAACGACCTCTTCTGTTGTAGTTGCACCCACTGGAGGGAGTAGCGGACTTGCTGCGGCCGTTAGCGGCAGCAGTACGTGGCGTCGTATACGCGCTACAGTGTACGACGGAGGTGCCGCTGGGTGACATGCAGTCGCTGGCGCGCTTCTACATTGAGCAAATACGATCTGTGCAGTCAGAACCACCGTATATTCTTCTCGGATATTCGTTTGGTGCTGTCGTCGCTTTCGAAATGGTGTTGCAATTAGAAAAGGTATACAGGTACCGCCTAATTAAATTAAAGTTATAAAACAATCCTGCTTACTTCCTCATATCTATGACGTTGTTCTACTTAGTGAATAATGAGACGTATGCTGTAATTGCAGTGTGGCTGTGACGCGCAGTTGGTGATGGTGGACGGGTCTCCTGCATACCTAGCTATGCACACAACGCTCGGCAAAACCAAGAACGTTCCACGGACTAAGGCGAGAGACGAGGCGGACGCGCTCACCGTGTTCGTGCAGCAGTTCAAGGAGGTGGACGGCGCGCAGGTGAGTACTGGTCGGCAGGGCGGAGGCCGCGGGAGTCGTGAGACGTGTGAGGCGAGAGTGACGGAGCGCGTGTCGTCAACCCTCAGGTGTCGGCGGAGCTGGCGCGGCTGGGCGGGTGGGAGGCGCGCGTGCGGCGCGTGGCGGCGCTGCTGGCGGAGGCGGAGGCCGCGCTGGCGCCGGCGGCGGCGGCCTTCTACGGCAAGCTGGCCGTCGGCGACGCGTACCGCGCGGCCGGCCGCGTGCGCGCGCCCGTCACGCTGTTCCGCGCGCGCGACAACTACGTCGCGCTGGACGAGCACTACGGGCTGCGCGAGCTGTGCGCCGGCCCGCTCGCCGCGCGACAGCTGCCCGGCGACCACCGCTCCATCCTCGCCGGCGATGCCGCCCAGCTCATCGCCGACCACGTGTCCGCACTGTTGGAACAGTCCGGCCACGTGGATGGCTAGCATATTTTGAACTAGTTAATTGTGCCTGATAGACTGTTAATTCTCAATAAAGTATATTGATGTTATTTATTAAATTTAAATTGTTTAATTTATAGAAACGATAACAATATCCTATAATAGCAAAATCAGCGATTTCAGCGAAGTTTTTGAAGACAATAAATAAATTTTGTTATGCCTTACAAATGGATCAATTTAACCTCGCAGCCTGTGGATATTCCTAAGTATAAGTGTTGATATATTAAAGAAAATTATAATTAAATATGTAAATTAAAAAGATTTATATATAAATTTATTTTATTTTATACTAGCTACTTACCCCGGCTTCGTCCGGGTGTATATATATTGTTGTGTATGTAATGATGACACTATAAAAAGGTCATTTGTTTTATAAAAAAGGCAGTTGGACTTTATTTTAGTGAAAAATAGAAAAATGTATTTTGATACAACAACCATATATTTATTAATACCTAACCTAACCTATACTTTATTAAATTTATGTTCACGTGATTTATACATTCACACACTCATACATTATTTGTAAATAACCTATAAAAATGGGTAATTCTTAATAATGGTAATTAATTTCCGATAGTGCTACAACCCTATTTAAAAACTGCAAAAACTTGGCAACACCAGTAACGTCAAATTTGTCTCCGGGATTAAAAAACAGACTATAGTGAGCGCAACGCCGCGCGCCGTATAGAGGAGTCGAGTCTGCCGGCCGGCCGTATGCCGCCACTGGCAGCCTCCGCGATCTCGCTCATCTCAGTGTACCGCGAGCGACGGCGGACGGCAGGTCGCGTGTGTTGTGCGCACGCTGTATACTCGTTACGTTTAAATGTATACACGCTGTATATATGTGATCACGTTGTTATTGTGTCCCAGTATCTGTTAGTGATAACATATTTATAAGGAGACTGAAAAATATGGATTGTACTCGTTATACACACCTACCTACTTAGTAACTGTAAGTATTTTTTTAGTGATTTAATAATTTCATGTGCATGAAGATTCGTGTTAAATGTATTTTTATATAAATATATGACTAATCTGTGTTATATACGTGTTTCTTAATTAATATGTTAAATTTACTAACATTATAAATGCTAAGCTGAGTGGAGCCATTTCAGTGCATTTTTGGATGTAAAAAATGATTATTTTATGTTTATTTTTAATTATGGTAAAGTTTAATTATATGTACATTTTATTTGCTCTTTTTTATTCGTTTGTTGTTTATATTGTATTTTTTACATTGCACTGAATAAAATATTTTTCTTTCTTTCTTCTTTCTAAAGTTTGTGGGTATTGTGGGATGTTTTTTTTTTGTGAATGATAATGGATTGGTGCCCCCGCCTGCGCTAACGGTTTACGCTGGCGGGGCACCAGTGGAGGATGGTAAGATGAGCATGAGGTCAGGTCAATTAGCCCATCATGACAAATTCACCTAGAATTCATCACGATGATTTCCAGGGGGAACCGCGTGGAGGTCGACCTAACATGGTACATTGCTAGCAATGGGAGTTACTAGTACCCATTGCTAACAATCCTCTTCCCCCCATTGTGGGATGTTTGTTACGCTTTCACGAACGGAACTACTGAACGGATTTTTATAAAACTTTACAGCTTATACCTACATTAGACAACACATGGGAAAACATTTTATTATAAATTTTGTCTGTTTGTTCCGGCTAATCTCTGAAATGGCTGCACCTATTTTGACGGGACTTTTATTGCCAGGTAGTTCATGTAGTAAGGAATAACTTAGGCTACTTTTATTTTAGAAAAATAAAGTTAAATTCCACGCGGACGAAGTCACGGATACAGCTAGTTCATAATATTAAACATAGATTTAAACACTAACTTGTTGTTCCTAAGTATTGTTTAGAAAAAGTCAATGGGTCTTTTATGGGAATGGATATAAAAATTTACAATATGACGGAATATGTTCTAGTACAGATGTTTTGAATATATTACCTATATATATATATACTGAACTGGACGATAGAGAAAAAAATAAAAATAATAATAATAAAAAAAAAAGAAATTCAATTGAGTTTCTTGCCAGTTCTTCTCAATTGGATCTACTGAACTGGACGATAGAGAAAATAATAATAATAATAATAAAAAAGTAATTCAATTGAGTTTCTTGCCAGTTCTTCTCAGTTGAATCTATATATAAAGAGCTGGACGGTAGGAAAAAAATTACAATGTAAAAAAAATTACGGTCATAAGCGGCCAAATGTCCTACATGAATAAATGATTTTTAAATTTGAATTGTATTTCAAATGTTGGAAGGCTGTAAACGAAATGAGAATGAGATGAGATTATAATATCTACAAGCAGAGCCACATGCTCGTACGTACATGCGGTCGCTGTCACTTCATAGTGTTGCAGACGTCTCTAGTGCAACTAATCTGACATCCAAAAGGATCAGTCCTAACTGTTTAACGTAACTTAACGTAAGTAATATTAAATGTTTCATTTTAAAATCATATCTAATAGAATAGAATAGAATAGAAAATAATTTATTCGAATAAACTTACATTAAAGCACTTTTGAATAGTCATCACAAGAAGAACGAGCAAGAAACTTGCGTGTTGCTCTTTTAAATAATTTTATTGTAACATTACATTTTAAGTTGAAGTGTGTGAATACAAACTACCAATTAGCACTAATTCAATTAAATACTCAAACAGAAATTATCAAGGAATCTCCTGCGAGTCGTTTGGAGATAAGGTATATACTTATTTTTGTTTTTTTTAATGATACAGGCACATTTCTGTTTAGATTGTCTGTGAATACAAACTGCCAAAACTCGCAATAGTTAATTAAAAAGTTACTCGCGTCACAAAATAAATCATACATAGCAGTCGGAGAAGACGAGTCCCTAAAGCCTTGCAGTGAAACTGAGTTCAGCAGCTTTTGCCGTGCATAAGGTTAGACAGTACACTGATACTGATACTGCTAGATTGGTCTATTTTAGTTATTTTTATAGTTTACTCTCTTATGGAATATTATTATGGGGAAAAGCGGCAGATCTCTCTCTTCCTGGCTATATATCCCACATGGTGGTGGGGTCAGCTTTCCTTACTTTTGTCTGCTACTTAATACTGCCCCGGACATCGTCCTCAGAGACCTCACACTCTATCATGTCCCTAGCAACATCTTCCCATCCCTTCCTTGGTCTGCCTCTGCCCTTTCGACCAGGAACAGAAAGTTGCAGCGCCAGGTTTCCGACGTAATCAGGCGGCTTTCTCTTCACGTGTCCATCGCAGCCTATTTTCCTGCATTTTTTCGGCAATGTCGCGAAAAAGCGGCAGATATTAAAAATATATTCATATTACAAAAACGTGCCATTCGAGCGATCTACTATATGAAGAGTCGTGACTCATTAAGAGAGAAATTCAAAGAGGCAAATATTCTCACCGTTGCTTCTCAATTTATATATTCAAATATCTTATATGTTCATAAAAATCTTGACTTATTTCCAAAAACCTGCAACATTCATAATATTAATACTAGATTTATAGACAAACTTGCTGTCCCCAAGTATCGTTTAGAAAAAGTCAATAGCTCTTTTATGGGAATAGGTATAAAAATTTACAATAAGATACCAAAGGATATATTGGAATTACCCTTAAATAAATTCAAAACAACTGTTAAATCATATTTACTGAGCAAATCCTATTACTCACTAAACGATTACTTGAATGACGAGCGTGCATGGCAATAGTTGTTCATGCACTGAATTTTCATTTGATGTTAGACATAGACACCTATATAAATATACATTGTATATAAACTAGCTTTTAAAAAAAAATCAAATGAGTTTCTTGCCAGTTCTTCTCAATCGGATCTATATACTGAACTGGACGGTGGGTAAAAAATAAAATTATGATGTAAAAAATTTTACGTTCATATTAATTCATACCTACATGAATAAACGATTTTTGATTTTGAATTTGAATTTAAAAGCAATACCAATATAACTGCCACCCGACATCCTGCTGCTCGCCAGCGGAATTGAACCTGAGGCCAGTAAAGCGATACGTTATGTGATCCCATGACCGCAAACCATCAGCCTGTAGTTTCCCATGAACCTGTTCTTAAGCCCCACATAGCATATACTGAGACATGTTTTTCTAATCACATATCAAAACATCTATTGACCTAACTTGAACAACACATTATTACCCCTAGCGGTTGGGGGGAAAGGAGATTGTTAGTAATGTGGACTGATGATCTTATTGCTAGCAATGTACCATGTCAGGTTGACCTCCACGTGGTTCCCCCTGGAAACCATCGTGATAAATTCTTGGTGAATTTGTCACGATGGGCTAACTGACCTGACCTCATGCTCATCTTATCATCCTCCACTAGTGCCCCGCCAGCCTAAACCGTTATCGCAGGCTGGTGCTCTTTTCCAATATCATCCATAAAAAAAACCCCTAGCGGTTTAACACACCGCTTTACTTCCTATGGTCGCGGGTTCGATTCCTCGCGAACGAACATTGGTATTCATGAGTATAATTGTTTATATCAGTCTGGGTGTTTTCTATGTATAATATGTATTTACGAAAAAAAATATATAACTATATATTCAAAAAGAATACGAGCTGAGTTTCCTGTCAGTTCTTCTCATCTCGGACTCATTCCGAACTGACGGTAGATTTGACATATCATAAGAGTTTGTAATAAACCTACATGAATAAAGATAAATTTGATTTTTTTTATTATTGATATCATTTTTTTTATTATGGTCATATTTTTAAAGGGGAGAGAGTCTGTATTAGACTGTGAGAGAGAGAATCTGTATTACTGTGTTGGCGTCAGGGAGTGAAAGAGTGGACTGTTATAGATTCTCCAATGCGTTTATTACTAGAATTTATATTACAATAGTTTATCCCGACATTAATAGTACGGAACTTCCCGGGGGCATCGTCGCGCTCGCTGTTTATGGCTTGGCCAACTGTATACATATATATTATATATAAAAAACA